TGGGGGTTGTTGTTGGGTGTGGTTTGTGTGTGTAGATTTCCTGAAAATTAGGGGGGGGGCAACTTATGTAAGCAGAGTCTTATTGGAAGAAGGAAGATCCTGGATGTGACCCGTATGTAATAGATAGATAACTGACCTATAAACAATCTGTATCATTATATATAGTCACTTCCGTGATGCCATCCAGAACATGAATTTAAGTTAATACATAGTGACATAACTCAAAAAAGCTACTTGCATTTCATGCCAGATGCGAGTAACCTTACCACAACCTTACTTTCTTCTTTAGGTCTTGCAGCGACTGATCAAATCGAGAGGAAAGTCACAAAGCAAACACTTAAATGTCCAGTTGGTTGCAGCGGATAAACTTGCACAATGTCCACCGGTATGTATTAATACATAGTGACATAACTCAAAAAAGCTACTTGCATTTCATGCCAGATGCGAGTAACCTTACCACAACCTTACTTTCTTCTTTAGGTCTTGCAGCGACTGATCAAATCGAGAGGAAAGTCACAAAGCAAACACTTAAATGTCCAGTTGGTTGCAGCGGATAAACTTGCACAATGTCCACCGGTATGTACAGGACTAGGGATGGTGTTTATTCTGTGCATGGGGTATGTGTGTATGATGTGAGTTTACATACTAGCAGAAGTGGCTGGTTTGGTATGTCAGGCCCACCCTTACTGACCCGAGCTATAATTGCAGTTGATCAAACCCTGAAATGTGTCAAAAGCTAGCTTGCAGGTCTTGCCGAGAGATGTACTCATCTTTCCACTCCCTCCTGATAGTCACGGTGACAAAGGTTGAAGATGTGTAAAGTTACAGTTTCAACAAGTCTAGTGTTCCCTTCTCCATCATCCCATTTCTTTTTCACCCACTGCTCCAGAGAAATGTGCAGTGGTAGAACAGAAACTCTCTCAAGCAGTGAGGTATAATGTATTACATTTCTGCCAGTGAATAATTTTCCATAGATCTGTCCTGGTTGTTGCAAAAGGAAAGTAAAATGTAATGCCATCCATTCAGATAATATACTTAAATAACTATAACAAAGCCAGAAACATTCATTTTGTGTCCTGTCCTTGTATAATGCTATATACTAACACAATCCAGCTGCAGTCAAAGTGTGTGAATTAAATTGTGGAATATTTCCCTGCTTATTTTCATATAAACAGAGTTTTTTTAAAAAAATTGTAAGCATTTTCTAGAGTTTAATCGCAGCTTGGACTATTCTGATTTAATCGCAGCTTGGACCATTCTGATTGATACAGTGGAGAGAGAGAAAGAGCAAATGGATGGGAGCCACATATCTGTGGGCTCTACTCCGTCTGTGAGCTGCTGCTTTGTCTTGGGGTACTGGAAAGGCTGAAGCAAGGGGAAGCAATTGCATTTACATGAACTATTACATATACTCAGTTTTTCAAAATCATCCATACTCATAGTAATCTTGTGAAAGCGGCATTTTTGCAGGTTCTGTTCTGGAACTTGCCCTGAAAGAAGGAGAAAGGGGGAATTGATTGAATCATCCTCTTTTGTCACTTTCCTCTTTTTTTCCCTTCCCGTGGTGAGAGACAAAGTACAAATGGGGTATGATTTTAGGACTCCTGACTAGAAGGGCCAACGCCCAACATTACAAGAGGGTGTTCTTAGAATTTTGAATGCCTCTGGCGTTGGAGCATTCACCACCTCCCAGGGTGATTGGTTCCATTGTCCTACTGCTCTAACAGTTGGGAAGTTTTTCTTGATATGTCTGATATGCTTAGTCATCTGGGCTACTCATGATAACCTTCATATGGTTTAAAAAGAGCCTGCCTTGATATTATAGAGCCTGGCATGAGTTACTGGAATTGAAAAGAGCTGCATATTTGCAAAATGGTATGATCCTAGGAAGCTGCCATCTCCCAAGTCAGACCACTTGTCCATTTAGACCAGTATTCTCAGTTCTGAGCAGCAGCAGCTGTCCTAGAATTCTTTCCTAGCCTCCCTTGGAGATCCCAATACAGCCTTCAGGGAACGTGCTCCCCTCTCCAGCACCCACTTTAAAAAAAGATTTGGCCTGAAATGGCTAGTTGCCCTTTCGAAGGATCGTGATTGGCTGTTTCAGGTCATTCATCAGCTTTATTCAGGCCTATAGCGGCATTTTTTTCCAAAACTGAAAGTGATTGGATTGTCACTTGTGTTTTTGAAAGAGTTTGCTAAGAATCTAAATAAGAATAAGGGTAAGGTACAATGGAGTGAAGTGGCAGAGGTGCTCCATAGAGGTTGAATTTAGCCATTTCAGCCCAATTTGTTTTATTTCTAAAATCTAAACAAATTTAGAATACGATTGTAGTAGTTATGGTGGATGTTAGAAGATAGTCCTGGCCTTCCAAGAGTCATGTGGGTGGATGTTGCCCAACATTGTTTTGAGGCATTGACCCAAAGATAATCCCAGCACCTTGTCACAAAATGATTCCCATTAGAAGCATTCTGTATAATTTTGTGCAGTTGTATTAATTGGGCATCCACAGGTTTTTCACGTTTCCCCATGTCATGGCGCTGCTATCAGGGTTGGCCCCCACCATGTCCGTTGACTCAGGCAGCAAAATGGTGTGGCCTGACTGACTGACGAGTTCACCCCACAGATGGTCAGACTCATGAGGGGGAGAGCTGGATCACTTTCATCCCTTTCCCATCACTCTTCTCCATCATCCTTCATGAACTGAAAGGTGAATGTCTGCCACCAGGATACCTATCCTACTTTTATAGATTCCTTCTTCCTTGTTGACCACCCTGCGTGATCTGCGTAATATGAGTTTTTAACTCAGTAGGAAGCTGACAAAGGAAGAGTAGATTCATTAGTGCAAAATTTACTTTCCTACACATGGCTCAAAATGGAGACAGATGATGGGGATGTTATGAAGAAGACACAGCTGTTGGCTATGGTCAGATTCTTCCTTTCTTGCAGTTTTTATTCTGTGTTGGCTGAATCCCTGCTCTGTGAAGAATGTGAATTGCCTTGAAAACCTAGACTCTCAAAACAAACTCTTGCCTGGAATATTAATGATTAACAACAGTGTTCCTTACCCGTTCGAAATCTTCATGCATTTTTGATGCTGGCTACACAGGCTGGTACTAGGATCAGCTGTCGCTGCATGAATTCAGTAAGCTCCACCACTTAATTTTACTGGACATATTGGCTCAGGAGCTATACGAAAAAACAAGTTTAAAATATGCTCACTAAACTCCCTAGATTTATTAATATTATTTTGCTTTGCCTTGCACATGCTAAAGGATGCCAATACTTGCTTTAATATAGATGTAGCAGTTTCTACGGAAAGCAGCCCCTCTACCTAAATCCAGTACAGTTATCATAAAAATTGAACAAAGTGAGCATACATATCTAATGGGATTAGTAGCTCTATGATCCTTATACGTATTGTTATTTCTTGGAAGCATAATCTTACAAGCCACTTATCACCCGTCCTTTTTTTTTTTTAAAGGAAGTTAGGTTACAATCTTGCACAAGGCTTCTTTGAAAGTAAACCCTTTTCAACTAAGTACAGCTTATTTCAGAAATGAACAGCAAATAACGATTCTGCTGTAAGGTTTTCTTTGAGGGGGTTAGTTCAAAAAGTCTTATGAATGGAAATAAAAAATGTATTCACACTACTCTTATGATTTCTCATGGGTGGGGCTGGTGGAGGACTCTTCCGTGTTCAGCCCATGAGAGGTTGTGTTACAGTGTAAAATCATACCATGTAAGGGGCGTGCAGACTAGTAGCCCATAAAAGGGGTCTTGGGGGGGCAACTGTCTACAAAATGTTGTGCAGCAAGGTGGGCAGATAAAACAAACCCTATGGATTAAGGGGTTACTGTCTACAAACAAAACATCTTGTGCTCAGTCAGAAATGGCTTCCCGTAGCAGACTTCCTGTAGCAGAAAAGCACCTTTGTATCCAAGCCCCTGTCTTTTGGTGAATCCACCAGGATCTCATGTGCCTACTTTGACTGATGCCTTAAAACATGACATGCTGCCAGTGAATCAAGGTGTAGGATTGAGCAAAGATCTGATGGGCTGGTAGGAACTTGTTGCCGTGTAACAGCAATGCAAACAGATCTGAGAATTGGCCTGTTGGGAAGAGTACACAGAGAGCTGCTTTTCCAACATCAGTCTTTTGCAGCCTTACGCACTGTTATAACAGGGATCATAGTGTGGGATAGCCCTGGACCCGAATCAGACCACATAGATCCTTCTTAAAAGTCACTGTCGGATACATAGATCATAATCATATTCGTACTTCCAGAAGACTGAAGCTAACCAGAATGGGGTTACCCTAGCTTGATCATTGCTGGAGATACATGGGTTAAACGGCAGAAGCCTCTGTGCTGCAAGGTCAGAAGATCAGCTGTCGTAAGATCGAATCCATGCAACAGAGTGAGCTCCCGTTACTTGCACCAGCTCCTGCCAACCGAGCAGTTCGAAAGCACGTAAAAATGCAAGTAGATAAATAGGTACCACCTCAGTGGGAAGATAACAGTATTCCGTGTCTAGTTGCGCTGGCCGTGTGACCACAGACACTGTCTACGGACAAACGCTGGCTCTACGGCTTAGAAACAGGGATGAACACTGCACCCTAGAGTCAGACATGACTGGATTAAGTGTCAAGGGGAACCTTTTCCTTACCTTACCATGTAAGACCTATGAAACGGCACACATTTTAAATTTTTTCTTTCCGTTCTAAAATGAATGTGTACTATTAACTTTTACAGCTTTAGCAATTTACTTCTCAAATTCCTCCTTGGCTTACTTGGTTCCAAATGTACTTTTAGCTGACAGTATATTTGGAGTTGCTGCCTATTAACTTCCTTCAATCTGGCAACATCTGTGAAGTGAAGTAGAACAAGATACTGGCTGAAATCCAGCTCTGCATGCTCATTGGTGGATAACGTGATCAGCAATGGCTTTCTTTAGGGATATAATATGCATGCAACTTGTTTACATTGTGTATGAGTTGTGTGCACCCTGCATGAGGCTTTAATCAGCAGTGATTTGTCTTTAGCCAGCCGCAATTTGCTGCTGTTCACGTCCTCATTCCTATTGTGGATATGGAGCTGTACAACAGGGTTTAGACTGTTGTGTCTGACTCAGGCTTCTGTCAAAAATAGCAGCCCTATGCATAGTCTTCCTCTTTTTAACTGTGATGTGCAATATATCATCATCACCACCAGTATCATTACAATTATCATCACCGCTCTCTCCTGACATTATTCCACTGCAGTTCCAGGTTGGGATGTAGATACGCATACTCTACCACAGCACAGATAGTTTGTGCCTAAAGGTTTAAGAGAGAGGGGACAGAAATGACATGGATCTACCTTTTTTGTGACAGCCAAGTGAGAAGTGAGGCATGTAGTGGCACCCCACGATGGCACAATTTTTGTTGTGAAAGCTATGTCTAATTCTGTAGATATAGTTTGGTTCAGCTCAATTTGTGCATCTTTTAGAATCTGCATCTGAAACTGACCCTTCTCTTCACTTGTTTTAAAGTTATATAATGGGATTTTAAATACAAACTGGCTGAACAACTTTCAGAGGCCTTAGAGGGAAATACACAGAAACACCTGAAAATCCTCAGGTGGACAATGCCTTTCTTACAGGGTGGGAAGACACCCCCCCAGGGCCATTTTTGCTCTCCTCCCCAGCCCTCCCTCACCAAATTTTAAACATGCTTTTGACCAACTCTAAAATAATTCTCTGAAGAGCATGTCTGTTCAATTTTTAGATGACAGTGACTTTCCAAGATGAAAAGAGGCCTCTAGTGGAGTGTTGAACCCTTGTGATTGATTGCCAAGGTTGTTGGGAGGTTGATGTACAACTCCAAATGCCTTGTAATAGTGCAAGGCACTATGAAAATGCCAACTGCAGCACCAGCCACCTACCTGTTCAGGAAGGGGAAATGCCACAGGAGTTAGATGCCTGGCATCCCTCTAGTATTGTACAATAGGTCTATTCTTTGCCTGGCATGCAAATGACCCTATATTTCAGGCAATGGCATTTGGATGGCAGTTGTGCTACCATTAAATAAAAGTTCCAAATAATTAGACAAACCTGACAGACTTTTAAAAAAGAGGTGTATTGACATCTGAACAGGTAGGTTGTGCATAAGACAGAGCTGGACAGGGTTGCATTCCCACCTGTGCATGTTCCTTTGCTCAATTTTAAATCTAGATGGAATCTCTCTCTGCATTAGAAGGAACAATTCTCCTTGTCAATTCTCATTCGTTGCTGGTATTTACTGAATAGTCAGAGCAGTATTGTTCATCCCAGAATATTCTATATTTGCTTCACAAAAGTGTCTAGTTCTACATTAATTTGGACCCCTCATACAAGTGAAATCATATCTTCTTTTTCGTGGCCTCTGTGAATGCACACATATGGGTATTGTCTGCACCTGCGCTGACTCTCTCGAAAGATTCTAGACCTAAAAGTAACAATTTTATGGTGTGATCCTCCACGAGGTATATGCTCCTCCCCCCCCCCATCTTCCCCAGTTCCTTTTTTCCGCCAAGCTGAACGGTTCTCAGGAAAGATTGAGCGCTACGCTAGTTGTCTTTTGGCTTTTTTTCTAGGCTCCTTTGAGCTTTTGTTTGTTTTAATTACCTACTTAGTGATCCTCCGCGTCTTTTGTTTGCCTAATCACCTTCCCACGGTCTTTTTATTCCCATTCGTGTCCTGCTTGTAAAAATTTAACCAAGCCGGCACTTAAACAGATGCTCCAAAGACTTCGGTCTTACCTTTGGCAAACAGCCATGAATCCTCCTGCTTTGTCTTCAGAAGCGGCTAAATCTCCTGCCCTTTCAGCCGATAGACTTCCAGTGGGCCAGTCTACCTCTGATTCTACCTCCGTGCTACCAGTTAAGGACACTGCTGAAAAAGCAAAATCGTCTGGTGAGCACAAGTTGCCCTCTTCTCAGAAGTCTCGAGCCCACGATTCCAGCTCGAAGAAAAAACCTAAACCTGACCCTAAGAGGCCCAGAAAGGACAAACTTCCCAGAGTAGAGCCCCCTCAGCCTTCTCTGCCTTCCCCTATCCTTGAGGAATCGTCCAGAGAAGCCCCTGATTTTGCCTCGGACGGAGACGATGCCCATGATGTTGCGCCCCCCCCCCACGATGCCAACCCAAACCCCTAGCATTGGCCTC